GACAGCCATGCTCCAACTCCAAAACCAGCTTTAGTTTTTAATTGAGTTGGGACTATATAAAGTCCAACTGCCTAACATGTCTGTAGAGAACAGGAAAACATTTTGAAAGTTTCATGAAATTTTATCCTGTTGGAAGTGTGCTATGCCATTAGGTCAACTTCCTTCTTTCCTGGGGACATTCTTTCACCCTTCTTTTTCAGACGCTTCATATGTCCAAAGATCTTCAGATTCCTTCAGATGCTTTTAATCTCTTGGAAAGAACAAAAGAAAACCAGGCCCAGCCTTAATTTTGGTGAATTTTCCTTTTTGCCAGTTTGAATTGCCATGCTGCTTTATGAACTATTGCCTCTCCTAATCAAGAGGTCTCTCATGTTTGAATTGAATATTTATAATTTGATAGTATCCAGAGCTTTTTCTCCCATAGAAACAGAACCAAAACCTCTTTCCCAATGTGACACATACCCTGGTTACCATTCTGAGGTCAACACATCTGTAAAATGTACAGGGAGATTTAGTTTAACAGTTTGGTTTTTTCTATTATCCAATGTCTCTCCAAAGTTGGTGTTCCCTTTTTCATTAGCATTTATAAATTTTAAGGTTAATAAACCATGATGCATTTGATCTCTAGTGGTCATTAGTACCCCCTTCAGTTGATTAACCATTTCTTTTAAAGTGATATTAGATATTTCTATAACTTATTGTTATTTAAGATTGTGTGGTATACCTGTAATATGATTTATCCTATAATATGTTTAAAATAAATGTTGTATTTTACTAAAGATTTTAATTTATACAGGTATTCCCATAATGTCCAAAATCCCTAATAAGAATATTACAGGCATACCACATCATTCTATAGGGCAAGCAGTTATAGAAAGATCTAAATGAACTCTAAAAATATGCTAAATAAACAGAAAGGGGTAATAAAGACCGCTAGAAATAGATTTTTTTAACCTAATGTTAGACCCAATCTTTCTATCAAACATGTGTAGCTCTTACTCATTGTGATAACTTGATTATATCTGCAACGAACTATAATCCAGAAATGGAGGGCACACTTGTAATCTGGGTCTTGAGGCAAGATACAACATGCCTTGAATCCAGACCACCAGAGGGGAAGACAAAAAGTTTTTTAATCAGATATGGAGGCTGGAAGGCACACCCCTAATCTGGGCCACACCTTCTGATGGAAGCCCATCTAAGGACAATGAAAGAAGAAAGAGTTAGTTCTTTGCCTGCTTGCCCTCACCTTGTCAATAGATTAATTCCTTCACTGGAGTAGAGCCTACTTCATTGGGATTCCAACATAAACAGAAGACCAGCTGGGATACTCAGCCTCCTGAGACTGAGCAGCTACTAGATTCTTGGACTTTCCATTCAGAGACAGACAGACAGACAGACAGACAGACAGACAGACAGATAGATAGGTAGATAAGATAGATAGATAAATATAGATAGATAGATTCATATTCCTTCCATAAGTTCTGTGACT